TTGGCGGCCTTGTCACCCGATTTCACCCATTTTCACACCGTCAATAGAGGTGCTAAAAACATTTGCTCCCAGTAAATTTGGTTATTATAGGTTTAAAAGATAAACACATTAAATTGGCGGGAGCAAGCCCACTTTTAAAAAAAAATGTTAACTGTGGATGCCCCTCCCTAATGTGATCCTTTGTACCAAATAACAGTCTTGTATCTTATTGCGGAGCTTAGTTATGGCAAATTATTTATTTTTGATTAATGGTACCAATTTTCATGAAGATATCTTAATTTTTACTCAAGTTACAGCTTGCATAAATTTTTGTCGAGGTGGCATCGTTGGAAAATATTGCGCCGTTTTCACAGTTGTAAAGTTCGTATTGTTTTGATTTTCGTTTAGGAAAATAGTTTAAAAACTGATCGTTGAATGGAACGCTGAAAGCTAAATCACAAGAAATAAATTCGTTCTTCTCTACTTGTTAAGTTAATGTTTGGTAATGCATGTGGTTAGCTATGAGTTACTAATACATATATTATTTTTCCAAAAGGCTTTCGAAAACTAATGTTTCAATACATTAACAAACGATTTCTTACTCAATTTCAATTGCCCATTTTCCCACTGGGTATATGTGTTGAATATTTGCTGAAGAGTCTGCACAAGCATTTAATGAATTGAGCTGATTACCTTAGTCAATGAGACAATTTAAGCTTACTCAATAAAATTAAGCAAATAATTGAGTGCATTAGTACTTATTTAACTAATTTTGAAAATAAGAAGAAGAACGAAGATTTAAGATTGACATCCTACCTAAACAACTGCACATACAAGTGTGTATGTGTATGTTTGTAAAAGTGGATGTAGCTTTCGCTCTTAGTTTGCTGAGTATGCCGATGATGTGTACTGATTGCAATGAAAAAGAAAGCAAAGAGAAGTGCAAGCAGCTTATTGACCCAGAAGGCAATAGCTGAACATCAATTGAACTTACTTATATAAGCAAACATTTACAAATACTTATATGCATAGCAGTCTAATGGATGGCTGAAAGTGGGTGGAAGTTGGTATTGGTAGTGTTAGAGTAGATTTTACAGCAGAACAAATTGCTTGCCGCCACTCAGACGACTTGGACGGAGCACAAGTGGTGCAATCTTAACGAATTTAATGCCGCTCGAAGGATGGCCGATGTGACGTCTCTTGGGTAAATGCACCAATATCTATGTCAAGTTATTAGTTGGTGTAGTAAGGATTAGTTCTAATTAAATACAATTTCTTAAATTGTGCGAAGTTTTTTAGAAAGCGGTTGAAAATCGCTTACAAAAAATAAAAAATAAAAAAAAAACTAGGAGTAAGCGGTGAAACAATTGAATCAAAACCCAAATATAGTTATTTAACAATAGGGTAAACTAGATATCTAAACTTCCATCTTCCCACTTCACAGCGAACATGTTGGCTCTGGGTTGTGTTAAAAGTGGAATGGCTCTTATGTGGTTCACGATAAGTGTACATTGTACACTTATGTATGTATATTGTATCGTATATGGTATATAAATGTATATATTTACTTCGAGCGTTTTTCGCTTCAGTTAGAGATTTCGAAACTAGGTTACAAATTGAATCAGCAAAATAAAAATTAAAAGTTAAAAAAATATGTTCGAAAATTTGGAGAAAAAAAATAAGAGTACAATGACACCGACTTAGCGTTTTTTATTTGTTTGTCTTGCTCCAGGGCCATATACCATACAAAAAGACAACTGTGTATAGTTGTAGATAACAAAGAAATCGGAGAGGAGAAAAATTGGTAATTACAATATTTAAAGTAATTAGTAAAGTATGAATTTGCTTTAGCACACTTTTTAATAACAATAAAACATTTTTCACTACCTCTGCTAATTATGTTATAAGGGCGCTACATTTTGCAAAGCGCATAATTATCCTATAAATCAAGTGACTGATTGCGGTTTGATGACTCGGAGATGAAAATGCTAAACGATCTAAAAGTTATGGTATTTTTTAAGAAATCAGATGATTTTCATTTTAACCAATAAATTGGATATACGTTTTTTTGGGCTTATCCTAATATACAGTATAAAGTCAACCGCAAGTTTGAAACTGCTAATATTTGGTATGGGTGAGGGTGAGGGTAGAAGATGCATAGTGAAGTATTTTTCCACTTTCAGCTCCAAACAACATTATTTTCAGGTACGAATACCCACTTCATTTTATATGTTATTAATCTACTGATATTTTCGGAAAAAAGTTAGCCGAGGTTATCAAAACTGTATCTGGGGGTCTTAGAAAGTTATAGTCTCATTTCGACAATTTTTGTATCAGAGATATCACACTTAAAATGCACTATTTTAATCCGTTATCTACATTGTTGGTTCATTTATCTGTTGTAAATGAAAAGGTCTGGTGAATTGTATATTGTATTACATTAGAATTAGGCGTGATTATAGCGCAAATTCGCCTAACTCCTCACTGTAATTATGCTAATCTAATCATGCTAATCTGCTGTGTTATCCTTATTAAATTAAATGCTTCTGATGTTTTTCGTTAGATAGTTATCGAACTTTTAGTCGTTTTGAACATAATTTTTGTATGGAAAATAGGCGTGGTATCAATAGATGGCAAAAAATTGTATTCAGTTTGTCTTTAACACTTTGTGAGATATACACATCAAGCCTATTGAGGGGAAGGTCCTGCATACATTTTAAGAAATTATCTGGTTACGAGAAGAAGATTATTTATATCCGAGGACAAGGGAACTAAATACACTCCCAAAAATTATTCGGCTAGTTTTATTGTTCATATCCTAGTTTTGAAGCATATAAAATGGATTGAATTTTTTGTATGAACTGCAAAAACTTAAATTTCACTGAAAAATTTTCAAAAGCAAGAATCAAGGCTGAACAAGCGAAATCGACTCGATCGTTTGACTTTTCGCCGTTCGCTATGAAATTTCAGTTGAAAGAGTTACAAATCCGCAGTCATTTGTTGCACATAGATTGTGGTATACAACGATTTTTAGAAACAAGAACTGCAAAATAACATTTCTAATCTTTATCTATCTTTATCAAATTATTTTAATAAGCTTTTCAAACAAAAAAAAAGTTTTAAATGACCTTTACGAAGGGTCGTTGGAGATATAAAATGTTTTGGGAAAACATTTTTGGAACAATTTAGTAAAAATAATTAAATTTTTATTTCAGGCTGATAAAAAATTCTATTGATTGAAATTTATTCGACTCTACATTAAGAATGTGAGGTTTATAACACTTTTTGTAGTAGTAGAAAGAATAGAGATTTCTTTTTGCTAATTTATGATAATTTTTTTTTCGACATGATGTTTTATTGATCCGTTTTTAAGTTTGATTCAGATGATTATTTCATTTGACATCTTTAAAGTTTAAATGTAATATTTTAGCTGAGCAAAACCGCGACAAATACGACTCGAAGACGTAGAAATTTCCTTACAAATACGAAATCACGGTTGTTGTTTTTCCGGTGGAAATCGATGTCGTCGAAGTTATAAAAGTGTAAAGTGTGACTCTTGTTAAATTCAAATTATTTTATTTAGACTTTGAACTATTATTTTTCGACATATGTACATCATGTATCATGTATCAGCTATACAACTTTCACTGCTTCTTCTTTCGTTGCCGTTAACACTTATTTGTAGCTGTAGTGGTAAAAGTTTTATTGTTTCGTTGGTTTCTGTAACTGTTTTAGAATTTTCATTTCGTATGTGCTTATGCTGCTTCTTGATAAAGTTAATTGAAACAGTAAAAACAATGTACATTGCCTATTGCGTACATACGCAACAGTGAAAGCACATACATACAGACATTCAAACACATACATACATATATACACGCGAAAAGGTGTAATTAAAGACGACAACAAGTTGATAAGAAACAAATTAAAGTAATTGTTTCTATCACAGAATTTTGCGTGCAACCGCAGGAGAGCAATAAAAACTGTTCAAAAGTTCAGCTGATAGATGTTTGACGTGCAAATAGCAGATTGAATAAAATATTTCTATTTTTTATTTTTATTAGTTTTTTTTTTTTAATTAATACCTTTTCTTCTAAATTTCCGTGACAATCGCGTCAAACTTATCGTCATTTCTACTTTCTGTGTGTCAAGTGTTACCTAAGGTTGCTTCTCCAACAAAATATGGATAGAGTGTTGCCACAGAGTATAATAGTTTTGTTCACCTAACGGTTGTTTGTATCCCGCCCCTAAAATTCACTGAGACCTAAATCTGTTTCGCCAATAAAGAAAATGAAGACTTTCGGGATTAATTTTTTAAGCAAAATAGCTATTGCCGGGTTTTTCGTTCCGTAAAGAGTTATGGAGTATATTTATTAGAGCTAGCTCTAAATCCACCATAAAAAACTTTGTTGTGTCTTTGGTGTACATATTGGATCCGTTTTTGAATCCTGTTTTCAGTGCAAACTTTCTTTTCTGCGCACATTACTTTTGATTGCATCAGAGCAGTTGTTAAAAGGGAAAGCTTTCAGTCCCGTCATAATATTTTTGAGTACAGGACTAATTTTAGGAAGGTTCCTTCGACCTTTTTTGGTAGATGCCTACTTTGATTGCCAGCTTGAAAGAACCGTGATAATAGCGGATTAATTTCGTTAAGGGATTACAATGTTGACCATTATTCACCCATCGAGGTCTACGCCCGGAACTCTTTTTAATTGATCTATTTTATGTACTAATTAAAACTAATTGAAAACTTAAATTAATAATTTCACTTTCACTGAAGATACTTTAGGCGTTCAGGAGCATTTAAACTAGTTCAATCAGTAAAGGTGCCCAATTAAGTGCGCAAGTATCCGTGTCAGGAATCTATGCGAATTAACAGTTTTTTAAGAAATATTTTTTCGCAACATTATTTATGTACATATGTAGATACACTTAACTATTTAAATGTTTGCAAATATATATATATATACACATACCAACACTTATATGTTTTACTAATCTGCTCTATCTTTTTATTGCAGCCGCGTTACCTTGCCATTAACTGTGGAAGAGGTGAGTAAACTGGTAGCAATAACGCACACAGCCCCAATGACGACACACACATACATACATATACGGAAAAAAGGAAGTACAATTTGTGACGCAGGCAACGACTAACAGTTTATTCAAAATCAATCGTTAATTCTCAGCTACTTTTTTCGTTTTATTCTTTCTGAATTTTAATATCCGTTGTTGTTTTTACATTATCCTCCTTATCTACCTTCTGCTGATTTTTGCTGTCATTTGCAGCGCGCTGATAACGTAGTTTTTTACTAAAATAAATACATATGAAAGTAAATGAACTAATGAGCCAGTGTGGCGTCAATGCTGTGATCGACAACGAGCGTATGAAATTAATTTGAAATTCTTCAATGAGCGGTATTTAGTTTGCATATAATTTTTTCTTGGCTGTATAGCCCCAACAACTGGTTTTAAGCGCTGGAAACTATCTAGATCAGATTTAGAGCAGCCTTAATAAGATTGGTTTGATACAAAGACTGTGGGTTGCAGGTTGAAATATCGAGCAAAATATATAATTCACTAAAAAATTTAAGTCGTACGTTCTTTGTTGGCTAATGTCTTGTTAATAACACATTTCGAAAAAAAATTACCCAAGATAATCTCGCTATTGCTAGATATCTTTCTTATGATGGCTGAACGACGAAAATATTTATGCGAGCACTTCGAGTATCTTGAAAGTCTTCATACCTTCGCCCTTCGGCAGACAATCTCCTACGCTCGCGCCGTTCAAAATTACCAACAAAATATATTATTTTCCCGACTGGACCAAATTATCGTTAGATATGAAATCTTATACTAAGTAAATTGAGTTTAGGAAACTAAAGTATGCGCCGAATATTCTCTAGACATCAATCGTTTCGAACCCACAACGCGAGATAATGCGCTTACCAAAAATTTTCTTCAATAAATTGATTAATTCCTTGGTTGTATGACATGTATCACCGTCTATTATCTCCAATTCAGGCACGAAAAAGTTATTAATCGTGGCTCTATAGCGGTTCCCATTTACTGTAATATTATGGCCGGCTTAATTTTTGAAGAAATATGGACCAATGAGTCCCTTTGCCCATGGAGTATATCAAACAGTGACTTTTTGAGGATGTAACGCCGTCTCAACAATAGCTTGTGAATTATCATTACTCCAAATGTGACAAAATTGTTTATTAACGTACCCATTCAACCAGAAGTGAGCTTCATCGCTGAACAAAACATTCTTGTGAAAATCGAGATCGGTGGTCATCTCGTTTTGGGCCCATTTACCGAACGTGCGACGCGCTTGAGGATCGTTCGGCTTGAATTCTTGCACGAGTTGGTTTTTGAAAGCCCGCAAACTATGATCCTTCCGCAAAATCTTCCCTGAAGTGAATGAGCACAGCTCCAATTCTTGTGCGCGATGGCGAATGGACTCATTCAGGTCTTCTTCGCTACTCTGCTCCGCAGCAGCAATAGCATCTTTGGTGCGCATTGAACGGCGTCACTGAGGATGCACATTATCCAGTAGAGTAAACGTGGTACAAAATCGATCCATAGTTACTCGAATTATCGACTCAGCAACAGCTGTCAAAAACTCCGAAAAAAGTGTTGCCTCATTGAAAACCACACATCTAAAAAACACCCAGGGTTCGGGCTGCAGGCGTGCCTAAGCATCGCATTACGAGGAGTAACAAATGCCGCTCAATTGTCTTTTAAAACCATTTAAGCCATAAAATAAGCGAAGAGTTTTACTTTTTTTAAATGTCCCAGAGCAGATATTTTATTGAGGTAAAACTGTTTCTCAGTAGCACATAGGATGACTTCATAAAATACACTGACGATGTCCGACATCCCGCATAGTTTCTTACTAAGGGGCGCTTAGTACAACAGTCACAAAGGCAAGGTTTATCGATGTAACAGTAATACCACTTTCTAATGCATTCTGTCAAAACATTCGGCGTCTGTTGGTGGCAGAACACGTTTCTCAAATAAAATCTGTATTGTCCTTGGCCGAATATAAATTCGGGTACGGTGCGCTTACGTAGACCCGCTTCTATCTATTGTTTTTTTATACCCTGAACAGGGTCCCTCAGTTTTTAAGCTATCGATAGCGGCCATACAAACTGAAAAATCGGAATCAAGTGCTTGCATGGGAAACTTTTTTATTTGACGAGGTATCTTCTAGAAATTTGGCATGGATTATAAGGCAATAATGCAATATCCGAAGAAATTGTATAGATCGGAGGAGGACAGCATATGGCTACCATATTAACTGAACGATCGCTGTGCTTGTATGGAAAACTTTTTTATTTGATGCGGTATCTTCACGAAATTAGATCGGAATCAAGTTGTTGTAAGGAACCTTTGTATCTGTGAAGGGTATTATAGCTTCGGTGCAACCGAAGTTAACGTTTTTTATTGTTATTTATAAAAGTGATGTTACGTTATTCTAGATTTTAAATGACGATACTATGTAAATAATTTTTTCCTCCAAGTATGGTTGCTAAATCAGCATAAAAAATTCTCCACATAATTAGGACTGTATAAAAAACTGTGTCGCTTTTGTCTACATGAACTGTCTTCATGCCGTAAAAACAATTACCCATAGCGACGAGAACGTTAACCTTTTTAATAAATTCCATTACATTGTTTGCTCATTAATTGCTTTACATATTTATTTAAATTATACGTTTATCTTTTCAGTATCAAGTCGCACAACTTTATTCAGTTGCTGAGGCATCGAAGAATGAGACTGGTGGTGGCGAAGGCATTGAAGTGTTAAAAAACGAACCATTCGATAATTATCCCCTATTGGGTATGTACACATTTTGTGCGCCGAATGCGCCAATTACAGCATAGCACATACGTAGAATCATGTAGCATGTATTTACTGCCGTTTAATGTTTTAATTAATGCCTTGCAGGTGGTAAATACAATGCCGGTCAGTATACATATAAGATCTATCATTTGGCATCAAAAGTTCCAGCATTTATAAGACTATTGGCACCGAAGGGTTCCTTAGAAATACATGAAGAGGCATGGAATGCCTATCCGTATTGTCGAACGGTCATAACGGTATGTACATATGTGTTAACACCGCCATCGGAATGAAAATTCTCGCAAGTCTAGTTAATTTAAATGTATGCAAATGCTGACTAATGCAAAAACAGCTATGACTGTTAATACGTGCTTATAAGTTTTATCGAGTATCAGACGTCTAACGTCGAAACTAATAAGTAGAAGAAAGATATGTAAGGAAGCTAAATTTAGATGTAGCTGAATATTATATACTCTCGCAATTGTTAGGAAGCAAAGGCGTGGAAATATTTCGGGGTGTCACCAAGACTTTTTTTAAAACTCAACCGTTGTTATTAGACGACTACAATTATATTTGGTATTACATGGTACATTAGGTATTTAGGGTCTAAAGGAAGTACTGAACCGATTTCTCTCTATTTCTTCACCAAATTTTAGTTGTTATATCTTCACGCAATGTTACCCATTTTATTACTACACAACGTTAGTTTCAGGAAAGGTGTTTACATAATTTCCGAAGATGTTTCGCAAATTGACCTATTTTCTTTGCAAAGTCAGCAATAGGTACAGGTATTATCATATTCAGAATCTGAGGGGTAGAAACTGTATATAATTCGATTTCGAATATTTTTAAGTGAGAGTTGCTACATATTATCATGCTATTTGTACTAAGTTTTATTAGTTTAATAATGTATTAAAAAATAAATGAATTAGAATTTGAATTATTATTTTTTTATTTTGGAATCCCGAATTTACTAATAAATAAAAATTTTAAATTATTTTATCCGAAATACCGGATTAAAAAAGAAAGAAAATCCGTTTTTTTGAGTATTAAAAATATCGGATTAAAAAAAATTTAATCTCAAGCTTATAATTAAAAAAAAAAATGTTTTCGAATTTCCCTTTTTACGCGTTTGCATATTAAATTAAATTAAATTAAAAATTTGTGATTTTTTAATAAAAACATTTCAAATTAAACGCAAACGCAAATCCCAAACATCTTGGATTAAAAATTGTAAATTAGAAATCAAATGTTGGGATTTAAAATCTAATTTTTATTCCAACTAAAACTAACGGCTGATTCAAGTCGAGGTACTTTTTCAATAGTATTTTTTTTGACAAATTACGCATGACTCGTGACAAGCTGCCATATTATTTTTGTACAGTATTATTTGACATTTCATCATGGAAGACTTATGCTTAAACAATGTTTGCAAATCGTTCAACTTTATTACGCGCGCTCCGCTCAACATAATCGGCCTACTCAGCACTCATTATTGGATAATATTCGACCGAATTGACCACGTCCAGAACGCAGTGAAGAAAATATGGCTGCCGTAGCTGAGAGTGTACACGAAGACCGTGGAGAGTTGATTCGACGCCGTTCGCAGCAACACGGACTGAGGTATGGAATGACTTGGTGCATTTTACGTCGAGATCTTAAATTGAAAACGTACAAAATACAGCTTATGCAAGACTGAAGCCGCTCGACTTTCCCAAGCGATATGCTTCGCTCTATGGGTTCTTGAAAAGTTCCAAGAAGTTTCGACGTTTTCGAGCCAAATTTTGTTCAACGATGAGGCCCATTTCTGGCTAAATGGGTATGTAAACAAGCAAAATTGCCGCATTTGTGACGAAGAGAAACCTGAAGAGACTCAAGAGCTGCCATTCCATCCAGAAAAAAACAACGGTATGGTGTGGTTTGTGATCATCGCTCCATATTTCTTCAAAAATGACGCCGGCAAGGACGTAACCGCCAATGGCGACCGTTATCGCGCCATGTTAACCGACTCTTTGATGCCTGAAATTTAAGAAGACGGCATCACTTCCCACACATTACATCAATCAATGGATTTATTGATTGTTTTGGGCCTACGATTGACCACCAAGATTGTGTGATATCACACCGTTAGACTTTTTCTTGTGGCGATATGTAAAATCTAAAGACTATGTGGACAATCCCGTTTCGGTTCCGGCTTTGGAACAAAACATCACGCGTGTCATTTCAATTGAACTCAATGGATGTACCATCTGAAACGTAGCCGCGGCCAACATTTGATAAAGATAATCTTCAAGAAATAAATGCCAAAAAGTGTTCTTTCGAATGCTAATAAACATTCTCCATTAAATTTGAATTTTCTATGCCTTTTTCTTTAAAAAAGTAGAAAACCTCGAAATGGATCACCCTATATAATGTCTATTTCAGAATTATATTCTATTGTAAAATCTTCATACTCGATATAAACTACTTTCTATACTAATACCAGGGTTGCAAATTTTCAAATTCAAATTTTAATCCCGATATTGGGGATTAAAGTCAAAATATTTAATTCAATACGTTTGTAATTAAAAATTAAAAATTGAATTTTTTTAAATCGAATTAAATACGCAAACGCAAAAAAATTTTAGTTTTGAAACAATTTTTTTTTGTAAACCTCAAATCTATATATATATATATAAATTGTAAACCTATATATTGTAAACCTATATCTATATAATTTTTCATTTTTATTTTTCAATCCGGCAGTTGGGTTTACTATTACTATTTAAATTTTTATTTCGGTACTTGGGATTAAATTTTTTTTAATCCCATATTTGGGATTACAAAAAAAAAATAATTTTAATGTTAATTAATTTTTTTTTTATTGCATTATTTACAATACGATTAAGACAGATATTTTTTTTATTATATTCTCTTAATATAAGTTTTTATTTTATTATCTTTGTTTAAAACATAACCTAATTCCTTTGCAAATCTACTTTAGAATCCCAAATTTATGAAAGATGGTTTTAGAATTACCATAGATTCGATGCACGTGCGAGATGATGCGGGCAATATACCAAATGTAAGTTTTCCTCCTGACTTGAACTAACTAATGCGTTTCCCTTTTCTCTCTCTTTTCCTGCAACACTCATGCGGCGTATGGTGTGTTTAATATATACGTTTTATGTGAAATGTTTAATAACGCTAACGAATACGACAAAATGTTGGGGTCATGTGACTGATTGATTGGTCATTTGGTGATGGTGAATTAATAAATGTCGCTTACTCTCGTTTTGTAACGCATAAAATTGCAATTTTAAATTGCGCTGGTGTTGGTGTGGGATATATGTATGGTGTTTGGTTTTTAAACTCGTCGTTAACACAACTAACAAAAACAACAAAACGCTAACATAAACGCATAATAATCGCTGATGCTGCTGGTCCGACACCCAACATCGCGCCATCGGTTGCACATACTCTGTTGCGCCGTTGTGTTTGATGGTATCATATTAACAATCAACAATCGATGAATTGCCAATTCAAAATAACGACAACAATAAATGTGGATATAAAATAAAATTCAATAAAAATAAATTTAAACGATTCAACTGAAAATGCTGAATGCTTTATGAATAATTGCCTGTTGAATGCTAACGGTGTGTGTTGTTATGATTGTGTGTGTGTGTCTGTCTGCAAACAACTGTGACTGCTCGTTTGTTTTGTGTGCATCTCTAACAATCAAATTTAAAATGTTATTGAAATATAAAATGGCAATCGACACTTTGAATGCTTAAAAATAAAACGAACGAAATGCAAATCCAACAATACAACCCAACCGCACATGCATATGTTTGTATATATGTTGTAAATAAATACTTTTATGTGCATCTACGATAATGAATGCAGAATCCCGGTTATATGAAAGAGAATTTCGTAATTTGCATTGAATCGCTTCATGTCGGGGACATTGGAGATCAAAATAATGTGAGTGGTATTTGCTTTACATACCATACGTGCACATATGTATGTATGCATGTAGTATATACCATATTAGTAAGCATCACACATTTTTGGTAGCTGCTATATAGATGATCCCCGCACTTTTTAAGTTTTAAAATATCGACTGTTTCCTGGTAGACTTTTTTTTACTATTACTATTTAAATCTAGTACCATGCATGTCCGACCCAATTTAAATTTTTTTTGTAAATATATTCGCTTTTTACAATATTTATTCTTTTATTTTTGAGTCTTTTCAATTTCGTCCGACATAAAGCTCGCTCCGATTACTATGTTTTGGTAGTTGCCTCTTCCCACCTGCTTTTGTTAGACTACGAATCGAATTTTTAAATTAAATTAATGTTGCTAATAATCGGTTTTCGGCACATGTTGAGCTTAAACATCAAAAATTTTCCCTAACCCTGCAGACTTGCTGCTCCGACGGTGCATTTGCGAACATTTATTCAATATTTTGTTTGATAAGGGTTTTAAGAACTGTATAAATAATTGAAAATTGATTAAAAATATTGAAAGTAATTAAAATAATTATTATTGCTTCCTTTTTTCTAAAATAAAAAACTTTTTACTAATCCATATTTTTTTATATCATTGCACTAATAGAAGTAAAATACATGTTTAGTTTATGTCTGTATATATAATTCAACATTATTAATAATATTATTCTCATTTATGTCAACTGAGCATCTTTTATAACTATGTACTACATATACATAGATTTGGTTTGGAAAAGAGAGATAAACTAATTATACGCATTACCTTTTAATATACATTTTATTTCAAACCATACAACTGCTTATCAATGCGAGTTTGCCATTGTTTTCTAAATAAAATTGAAATATGAAATCTTGCATGATGGAACTTGACCAGAAATCTTTTGCACTTCTATTTGCCTTGAAAATTAGCATTTTCAGTAAACATATAATCATGCATACATATACAATATTAATTTAAACTTTTATGTTGCCTATAATTAGGTGCATGAACTGCCACCTGAGAAACTTAAAACACGCGAAGTTGTTCACATCGACATTGCGAATGATACCGTCTTGCCTGCCGATTACAAACCTACCGAGGATCCAACAAAGTAAGTACATTCTCAAACTTTAAAACGAGTAAATGCAATTTGGTTGGAGTTGAAGTATATTTTTAGGATAGAGGAGTATTGTGGATTCAAAATTCAAACTATTATGCTTTTTAACATTTATTCTAAATTATTCAATGCTACTGATAATTTCTGTTTATTTTGCACATTTCTATAATATTAGTATCAAATTATGCTACTTCATTCCCATATTGAAAAAAGTACGTGTGGCACTCAGGGACTGCCGCGGAAAAGCTATTTATTGCATAGCAGTTTTTTTATCAACTTATGCAATTATCATTATTTATTTTTTTTATGTAGTTTTTTTTTTTTGATACTAATTCAAGTTTTTACTTTGATATTAAATCATGTGTCACTTTTTAAGCGTGATGATCAATAAGAAAACAAACCTTTTTCTTTTATTGTATAAATGAGAAGTTAATATTGTTTAAAATAGGTTATTCGGTAATTTTTATAATTAAACTATAGGTTTATGGTAACTGAAATAAGAACCATAAGTTTGAGACTTGATATTCTCTAAATATCTGGAAAATACCGCGTCAATGGTGGTCCCATATTTTGAAGTGGATTCTTGTGGATCATTATTCATTTTAAAATTCATTATTTTTGAAAGACAAGTTGTCAATCGCTCTGAGTTTATGAGCGAAGTTGATGTTGAAATCGCCAGCCAAGATAAGTGGAAATTTATTACCATTGATAATCCGAATGAAATACCTAATTTCAATTCTATTTTTCAAGTCAAACGAGATATTTCCAAAAGGTGGGGTAGCTATTTACTGAAATAATAATAATTTTACAAATATTATGATTCCGAATATTGGAATTTCTTGAATCAGTCCCCACGCTCAAAGCCCGCGATAGAAGCTATGCAATAGGCTAAAAATTATGAGGATTAGTAAAAAATTATAAACTTTTCTTGTTCTGAAATTCATTCAATTCATTTAATCTTTTACAGATTTAAATCAGAGAAAACTGGTCGTGGCCCGCTGGTGGGTCCAAATTGGAAGAAAAACGTCGATCCAGTGATGACTTGCTACAAATTGGTAACATGCGAATTTAAATGGTTTGGATTGCAGACAAGAATAGAAAACTTTATACAAAAGTCAGAGCGACGATTATTCACAAACTTCCATCGGTAAGCATTCAGTTTGAAATAATAATATTTAAGCGTCAAGATTTACTGAGACAGTTAGTATATTTCAACTCCCCGGATACGTGGATATTTCAATATTGAGATATGGTATAAATAGAGAGATTAGGGTAATTGGAAAAGTAAAATAAGTAGTGATAATATAATATATTTCAGAAAGTTCGAATTAGTCGATTTTTTGAAAAATCGGATCTAAACAGTGTTAACGAATAAATCGTATCCATATTACGAAATTTTGATAGTATAGATAGCCCTCAAACTCAGCTAGCATTTTGTAAAATTGTGAATGAAAAAATATTTTTGTCGGAATGATTTTCAAATAAATTTACTATCTAATCATTAGAAACATATAAATATACTGGATATATTACTATACGTTAAATATTCATATTTATACCCCGAACAGGGTACGTTAAGTTTGCCACGAAGTTTGTAACACCCGGACGGTAACCTGGGAGACTCTATAAAACATATACATACATAAATGATCAGTGTGACGAGCCTAGTCGATTTAGCCTGACGAATACCTAAACAGGACGAAAAAATTAAACGAGTCGGCAAATCTTTTATTTTATAAAGATTATATATATATTTGAATGTAACATATTGTATCGTATTTAAATTGTAACGCTCTATTATTTAATTTCTTAAACATATTAAGCTAGTTTTGATTACAATTAAATTCGACTTTCTAATGTTACACATTTCCAATCGCTATTTTCCACTACATTCCAGTCAAGTGTTCTGTTGGATGGATCGCTGGCACGGTCTGACAATGGAGGACATACGCGCTATTGAAGAGAAGGTCAAAGAGGAGCTTGATCGGCAGCGTCAGGTGGGCGAGGTGCGAGGCATGCGTGCCGATAGTGATTAAAGGGTATAATCAAAGCTTAAACAAATTTATGACAAAACCAACAACAACATAACAACACCAAACCTACAACAACTAGAAAAAGCAGATACCAAACGCCTCTGTAAGCACCCACTCACTACTCAATCGTTTCCAAATGCACCACTCAAAACCTGAATTTATTTGACTGCTTAAACCTGACGAGAGAGACTATGTAAGGAAGTTGCACTTTCGAAATGATGCATCCCATGGCTGTTTAACCAACCGGAAACGTAGCGCTATAAATTCGACATCATCAGTAGTTGTTCCGTTATTTTTTTTTATCATGCAATACATACATAAATGTGTACATATTGTTTATACAAGTACTCACAGCCACATGCCGTTATTTAGCAGCGGACACTTAAGCAGGCGCAAGTTACACGAAAGGAAACGCATATTTAAAGATGAACTTCAAACAGTTATTTAAATTTAAACTGCATTCTTAAATTGTTTGAGAATAGCTTTTATTATTATTTGCTTTTGAAATTACATTTAGCTTAGTTAAGCATACAACAGAAACGTATTAATAATTAAACTAACCAGCAAGCAACAGAATACACTGTTTAAATAAATGTGAATAAACAAAAACAATAGACTAAACCAAGTTAAGAAGAAATACCATTTAAATAAAGAAAAAGCAAAGCAACTTATTATAAAGAATTAAAAGAAAATGCAATAGTTAATTTTTAAATAAATAATATATAAGTATAATTCACAAATTAAATGCGTTTATATATAAATACTATACATGTATGTATTTCAAGAGAAAATTAAACCAATTATAACTACTTAAATTAAATTGATTAAAGTTATAGAAATAATGAGAAGAAATAAACAAAATATTAGAAATTACTGCAATTTCACACTATTTTCAATGAGAAACCAAATCGGGCAGAAAATTCTCAAAAGACACCTCTCTCCCATCCATCCACTTCAAGTTCAACAGCACATAATGTCAATCTAACTATTGTTGTAAACACAAAGATGTAAAATAATAGCATAAATTGAAAACTATTGAATCATAGCAAACAAAAAAAAAAAAGCAAAATAAAACAAAAGAAGAAAATGTTTGATGGAGCGCAAGAAAAACAAGTGAAAAGGTTGCTCGCGAAATGGATATTTCCCTAAGCAAAAGGCATAGAAGTAGCCGCAGTTGAAGAACAAGGGCCGCAGCGAAGTCTTAAACATACATTTTTAATTAAATTTAAATTAATCATTAAATTACTTCGAACTCCATTTTAATTTAAAGCAAAAATAAATGATAAATTAAAAAAAAAATGTTATTTAATTGTACGAACATATGCTTATATTTGCGATAAAAGAAACTTATATATATAGAAATAGTAAAAGGCTAAATGAATGAGTTCATAAAGTATATAAATAAATTAAAGCCTAAAAGTGAAAAATATAAATAAATAAAAAATGAATACCAAAGGAATGTGTATATGTATTTACGGTAGGGCGGGTAGGTGGATTGTCGCCCGACAGCAGTGTAAAAGAAAACCAAGCACTCATAAATTAGTTTAGAATAATGCACTCTTGATTAGTACCAAATTACTACTTGAGAAGAAATGCACCAGGGGTAGCTTAGCAGTGGCAATTTTATTTAATTATAATAATTAATGATTATTACTTATTATAAGCAGACAATTAACGTTAAAATATTATTTATACAATTCTGCGCAATGTACATTAGAGTATTCACACTCTTCATCGACACTACCTACCACAGTAAATGATATCATGCACATACATACATTTTGGTTCGGATTGGAGAGGATTAGTATAGTCTTAACTTTGATTCAATCGGCAGCAAAATTTGTATGATATAGTTTCGCATTTAGAGTATTCGAAGCGAATGCAATCTAGTGAGAGGGAAGTAAAAATTTCTTTCTGCAATTGAAGACCCTAATGTATACATATATCTACTGTATATATAATTTTTAAAATCCAGAAGGTCCCGATGCGTCGTCATACATACTTGTACATCCACCCTACCTAAAATACAGAGAATTTAATAAATTATCCAATTTGTATGAATATTAAATACTTGTAGTTTTGAAATTTTCGCGCTTGAATAATTTTAATTCTGAAAATCACTACTGTATAGTTAAAATAGCGTAGGCAATATAATTCTGATATATTCATACTCATGCAGTTAATTGTCCAGCCATTAGTGATTTGGGTTTCCACAATAGACGTAACTTTTGTAAGAGTTTCCCCTCGATCAAATAGGAATTACTATCCCTATATTAGAAAAGATTTCTTTGATCAATGAGGAAAATTGCTACGATTATTTAAGACTATATTAGCAAAAAAAAATGTCAATCATTTCTTTTATCTAAGTTTTTACGCTGGTTCTAACTTCGACGAAATATAATGTTTGATGTTGAAAACTGATCTTTATACGAGGACGGAATTGTTATTTAGGAAATGCTTTATAGAAACAAGGTTTTTACATGTCTCATGTCTTTTGTAAAATTCATTAACGTTTAAGACACGAATATTTTTGTTGCGTCGACTGGTTTGTTGCCGAGGGGACCACGAGGAAAGAATAATGGCACCTAGTTACTCATGCTTAGGCAACGCTTTGTTTTCTTGTTCGTAAAAGTTCGATGCTACGCAGTACGCATTTCCTTTCATGTTCGGAAATTTGAATTTTATCATCTAAATTAGGAATGTAATATATACTTATAGAAGTAATATAATAGAAATGTAGAAAATTAGGAAATGATAAATAGGTTAACAAACAGCTAATGAAACAAATTTGTGTACCAAGAGCGTACAAAAAATTAAGAATTTGATATGAAAGGGAATACAGAAATTTCCCCTACGCTAGTTGCTGCACTTGTGTCGCTCGTGTGAACGCAATCGCCAACACCAAAGGAGAATTTCCCGAAAATGAGCTAGCAAAGTTACCGTGTACAAATAAAGACTAACATAAGGACGCAGGGCATTAAAGCAGTATCTCAATTTAATGATATTCAATTTATTTATAACTCGTTAACTCATTTCAAGTTTTGTCTATCATTACCGATGATGTTTCCAAAACTTCTATAGTTCCGAGTTTCAGCTTTTTATACTGGAATCTTGTCTGTGAACGACCGAAATCGTTTTTCATATGAACCGATTGAATTATTTATGAAATGAATTTATTGTCATATTTTCGAAATGAGGTAAGGGGGTATGGACTCATTTCTTAAAATCAGACTACATTCGTTGGTTTCTTTTTAACATTGTTTTTCACATAACTTCATTAATTAAGTAAAATTATTGTATTCTTATATTAGGCTTACTTTTATAAAAAAAGATTTGAGCGTTGCAAAAAACTCTTCCTTCCTCATAGAATTAATACACACATAATCTAAGCACTTCTGTAAAACGAATGCTAGAATTCTTTAGGAAAAAATAATTTTATAAATAACGATAAAATATGATAAAATATAAACGAGAATTGCAATAGAAATACTTGTTATTTTAATAAAATCATAAAAAACAAAAACATTAAAAAAAGACTATACTTGTAGCTAAAAACGTACAGTGATGTAATTAAAAGAAAAAACTGCAACTGTATGCTAAGGTAAAAAAAAACTATTGTTATCGCTAAACCATACAAGTATGTGTCATTAAAAATTATTCAACGCTTTTGCTCTAAGCATAAATATGTGTATATTTAAAAAAAATTTATAGTTAAATCCGTTAAAATAAAATTCTATTTTAGTATCTAACGTTCTTATTTTGCCCACTGTAAATCTAAATGTCTTTGAAATTTTTAAATGTCGCAAAATTTAAAATTTATTTTACGAATCAATTTATTCAAAATTGGTGAGAATAATTATTAGCGCAAGTATAAATATATATAGCATATATTCATGTTCACAGTTCCATAAAATATATGTTATGTATATACAATTGTATGCATTTTAATTTTTACAAGTACGTGTTCAATCCATTTGTTACATATATATATACATACACTTGTGCATAAATTGTAACAAAGTAGCTATTAAAACGCGCTGGTCACGTGTCTACTCGTAAATTTTGCAAAACAAATTTTCTATTGTCTTCAGTTGATTAATTTGGCGAGTTAATTAGTGATAATTGAGAAAATATAGTTGCAAAAAATGTAAAAGAAAAAAATATATTATAAAAATGGCGTAGTTTTTTTTATTTAAATGTGGTTTTTGTGGAAAGGCAATTGTGGCTTGTATTGTAGAAGGAAAATTTTCGACAATACATTTGTGGTGGTTTTTTTTTTATTTGCGGTGTAGGTTTCCAGATATGGCTTATCACCGTCCCCCATAAAATTGTTTCTACAGAGGCTCAGGTTCTTTTTATATCGAAGAAGCGGTTGCTATGTATATTAGTACGCATCTTCCATATTGCCATTTTTTATGCGACTATTTCATAGAGCTTTGTAATAGCTACTGGCTATTACGAAAATTTTCGAAGTGCGATTTAAATTAAATGACTAGAGTGAATCCACAAACTAAATTTTGTTTAATGAAATTTATTGAACGATCGTCGTATGTGAAGGCGGTATAATATTAATATAAGTTATAAGAATATACACTGTGCGTCATTAGATTAGCGCCCCCTTAAGCATGTTTGGTTGATGTTAAATACTATCCATAATATTTGAGCTAGAGCTACACAATTTTTCCTAACATTCTTAATTCAATTTACCTCAAAATGAACTTATATAAGGACACAATACGATTCAGTATAATATTTTATTGTATTACCAAGCAAAACAATACAAAAATTTGGCCATCAGTATAGCGCCCACTATGCTAGCTTTATTTTTTCCGTTAATTTCCTGAAAAAGTGAAACTTAACATTATTAATTTTAAACTAGAATGGTTTTAAAAGAAATTAATAATGGGTGGTCCTTTGTTGACAAGGATTACACAATCTCCATTTTGAATAGAATCACATAGTTTTTTAATAAAATCAAATTTAATCGTTGACCAAATCAGTCTTATGCCGTTGATTAGTTCTTCTTTGATGGTATATTGCTTACCATTCTCACACACTTTTCTAACCAACCAGACGTTCTCTACAAGTATAATATTTAGATGTGGGGAGTGTAGGGGTCACTCCAGAACATCGAGATTTTGCCTTTGTATCCAAGTTTTTATAGACCGAGTGGTGTGAATTGTCGCATTGTCGTGCTGGAAATGCCAATTCAAATTGCCAAAAATATCTTAAAAAAGGGATATGCACTTTTTAGACCAAAGTTGTACTTATATGCGTTAATTTTTAATGCCAATCCTTAAACCAAGTCATATGTGTTTGGACAAAACTTAGACGAGTTTCGTTTTGAAATTTTTTAAGTGGTTAAGTCTTTAGTTTCTGCATTTTTATATATTTAGCTTTCTTAACTACTTTTTGAATAGTTGATTCGCTAGCTTTTACACCAGTTTTTTCTTTAATTTTCGCCGAAGAGTCGTGGGAGTTGGAAGCTTCTTTGAGTACGGACCTCCGATCGGTATCAACACGATTATTGCCGCCCATTCTGTTCGTTTTGGATCGATGCATGGTTAAAATTGATCATTTGTTGTCTGTGTTGCACACAAAAAAAAAAAACAACAAAGGGAACATTTGTATATGGTATATCTATCTCTCTAAATTCTAGGTGGTACAGATAACCATTAAGGGAACAAAACTATTATACTCTGTTGCAACATGTAGCGAGAATAAAAAATATGTGCATATATTATATATACATATTTAAATATATTTTTATCGGTTTCCATATTTATTTTTCCAATATATTTTCTAATCTCTAAGTTATTTAATAATCAAAAAAAACACTGAATTTCGGACGATTTGATCACGTAAATTAAGGAAAAATTCTCAGTCAACCAACCAAAAGAATTGATGCACCTCCTCTTCATTAGATGGTCGACAATGTGGTGGTCCTTCATCAGGTGCGCCACCGGCGATCAATGACTGCCTGAGTGCTTGCATAGCGAGTGTATTACGCTTCGATACTTTGGCCAAGTCGACGATACGTTCGGGATATTGCACGCCAATGACACATTCATAGTTTTCCTGCATATCTTGAGGCATGCGCCATGGTTCGTAACTATATTTGGAGAAATTACGCTGTAACTTTATTGCATACAGAGTAAGTCATTAGGAAATGCTTACATATACTCCTGAGGCACTTTTGCCAATTCCGGTACATACTGACGAATATATTCACCTTTCGGATCCAAACGTTTTGAAAAAGCTATGGGACAAGATACTAAAGAGGAGTCCAGCAGACGTTCAAATGCAGATGATGATACCCACATCCAATTACCAGCACATACGGACCAATCAGCATCCAATAAATATTTGAGGAAGTGTCTCAAGCCATGCTCCCAACTTTGCCAGAGTGCACCGCGTGTCAGGAATGTAGCCACCGTATTGCGTAGCGTGTGGTGCAACCAGCCCTCGGCCAGCAATTGGCGCATTGCGGCATCAATCAAGGGAAACCCGGTTTGACCACTGCGCCAACTTTGCAACTGTTCTTGATTTGGTGGAGCCCATGGAATGTTTAAACAGATTGCGTTGCCCTCCATGCGATCGTAATAAGGATTATTTACGGACATTGTATAGAAGTACTCACGCCAAATGAGCTGGCCAGTTATGTGCTCTCCGCCGGCCATATGTATGCGTTGATATAAAGCCTCAATTTGCACGTGCTTGAAGAGATCATGTACGCTCCAGTAGAAACGACGTACTGACAAACAGCCGAAGCGCAGATGAGCGCTCATCGATTTCGGAGATTCAAGAATGTTGGGATTTGCCTGATTTGGCAGATAGTATCCGTTCTTAAAAGCGCGCTCCTCGACTTTCAGACGCTCAGCTAGATGTAATAAAGCTTGTTGCTCACCACCAAGCCATTTTACCTTGGCCACATAGTTTATATTGTCCGGGAATATATTGAAGTCCTCAGGAGTAGGGAACTACAAAGATAGGATAGATTAAAATACAGTATAAACATCAAGTTCGAATGAACATACCTGCCAGAATGCATTCAATTCCATCAGCATGTTATCAGTTAATTTCAAAAACTTAACGCCATCCCATTCGGGATCCTGAACTGGACGCGGTGGCGCACCAATTATTTCCACGGTGTGCTTAGGGGAAATAAGCTCATAGTTAGAATTCTTCGATAGCATATATCAACTTACCAAAAACATCTGATAGGTCAGTGGCGGGATTCCGCCATTCGTACTAATAACAGTCCGCGGATCCCAAAGCGTGTGAGACACCTTTTCCACTGCCTCAATACCCAAATCGTTACACAAAGCTCGTACTGAGTCATCGCGTCGATTCCAAATTGGTTCACAATCCTGTTCGAAGCAAATTTTATTTAACCGAAAGTACTCATTCAGACGACGAAACACAGTTGTCGGATTGCCCTGGAACAAGTATAGTTTGCCTGCAATATCATTCGCACCGCGTATGGCTTTTAATTGTTTGTCAATATCAGCAAGAGAGTTGAGAAGAAAGCTCATACGATTATATCCAACTGTTTTGGTACCTAAAGCAGGGTTGAATAATAATTAATTTATGTATCTAAGGTAGTTATAAAAATTGTTTTAATTATTCTCGAAACTAGTTGCAGAAATAATAATAGTTCGAATTAGCGTTGTTTGTAACTTGTTGAGCTATTTAAAATAGATATTTACTAATATATATATGTATAAGGAGATGAGCCATGAGATGCATGAATTTGCGGATTTATGTCTGCTTCAAAAATTTATAACTTGTTTATAAACAGAGATTCCATGAAAATTTTAATAAGTAGAATTTCATAATTTCCCCATCACCTAAAAGGCGTTATTTGAGAATATAAAAAAAAGCTCTAAGCCAGTTTATATAAGTGATTATTGTTAAAAGCGTTAAAAGTGGTGCTGATGACGCCTGCTAATGGGTTTTATGTTCATATCTCCTAAATTGTTAAATATATGCCAACTAAACTCGGGGGAAAACTTAATTCTTCGATATTCTCATTAGCCCCTCATCTAAAAACAGTCGATATCAATCAATATACCACTAGAATCTATTGTATATAATACTACAATTACCGATCTAGCGGATAAATTTATATTATATGTATATAGATAATGATTGAGGTATGCACCGCGACCTATGTCTATGGTCTATTGTGCCCTTATATGTATATACATAGGTTAATATGTTATACCGTTTGATCAAATTTAACCCGGACTGACCAAACGTCTTTTAATAACAAATTGTATTATCGCCTTCAAAATAGTCGACACAAACACGTCGAAGCTATATCCAATTTTCTATAGTCTTATTATAAGCCTCGGCTGCGATGACCTTCAGTGCCTTCAGCTAATTTTGGTTTTTTCGGTTTCGGGTTATTTTTGGAGCGCCATCCGCTAGATTGTTGGACAGTTTCGGTCATATTCATAAACCCCATACCTTTGATTATTGTTGGGTCCTCCGTTCCGTTAAGCATTTTTGCGACCTCTACTGGACGTCGCTTTTGCAAATAATCTACCATAGAATTGTTTCATACACAAGACATTAACCAAAGTGTGTTGAGTGGACTCATACACATAATAGTTGTTGAGATCCTCTGTTATCTCTTCAATGCTAACACTATGATTTTCAAACACTGTTTCTTTAACTTTTTCAATGTTATCGTCATTAAGAGAGAGGTGGATGGCCAGCTCGTATGAGGGAAGTTTTCGATGACTTGAACTCGTTCGTTAAAAAAGGGTTGTACACCAAAGCGGTACATACATAATATGTTACTCTAGGCCGAATATACCGAATTATTACTTTACTCCACTTTGGCTTACTTTACACCATATCAATAAATCAGGAAAGGACCTTCAAAAGAGACTGTTACGGACGAAATGATTTTAGATAACCGTAAAATTAGGTTGAACGAGATAGCTGACACTCTAAAGTATTTTAGCGATGATAAAGAGGTGATTGCTGAGTATGAGAACGACGAAAAGTGGTATTGAAAAGTTAAAAGATCATTATGTCGAATATTTCATTCTAATTTAGTCAGATATACTTGTAAGTGTGCTGTTTGTTGAACTATACCAAAATTTCAGATTGCATGTTAGGCTAATTTGATACTTGTCGCAAAC